AGACTGAACACCCAGCACTGATCACGTCACTAGTCATAAGGAATCTCACGGATTGGTTCCCTGACTGCCTTAAAACCCAATCAACCTACTTACTTACTCACTTGGCCTGACGAAGCTTTTATGTCAAAAGCGAAACGTTGCCCAGCAATAAATCCACCGATTGTTTACCAAACCCCTAGATCCGACTGTCTTCTAAGTGTGTGGCCACCTGAATCCTTTGAACTACACAAAACTCGTGTAGCCTCATGCCGGACTAGGCGCGAACTCCCGTCCGTCCGTATCAATGTTGGAACATTAAATCCACCGATTGTTTACCAAACCCCTAGATCCGACTGTCTTCTAAGTGTGTGTGCACCTGAATCCTTTGAACTACACAAAACTCGTGTAGCCTCATGCCGGACTAGGCGCGAACTCCCGTCCGTCCGTATCAATGGTTGGAACATACATGGCGATTTGTTCATTGAAGGTCGGGCTACTCTGTTAGTCCTATGTACCTTGTCGCCGGGCTTTTGAGCACAAGTCTGCTCAATAATGCTATCATCATGTACAACTAATCATGTCAAGTCACGGAAAACTCGCTTCCATCGTGGGCTAGCGCAGCAGTTGTTCCATGTGCCAGTAGACCTGAATGAAGTCGGTCAAATTTTCGTACCCTATGAGGTGAATTTTTGGCGTACAACCTGATAGCATTATCACGAAATATTATGAAATAATTCCATGTACGCCTGAGAAAGTCCGGAAGTCCTGCTTGATTCCAGTGGATTGTACCCTGAACGACTGCATAGGGTGGATGTGACTTTGATAAGTGAGCGGTTAGTGACCAAGTGACTTGATATTGTGATGTCTCCTCTTCGCAGGAAGGAGGGTTAAATCAGTCTTTCCGGGTGTACCGAGTTTTTCGTATACGGCTTTGTTGTGGTGTTCTTTGAGGAGCTTGCGATGAAAGTGAACGCTGCTCCCTTAATTGAAAGTCACTACATCAAACAGAACCAAACGCGTCGCAAAGAAAGTCCATCCTTATTGCATGCTTGGTAAATTAAGAGATCGTAGACAAAAAATTCGATCAATTTGTGATATTGTAGGCACCTAGGCAGTGACCTCCGTTAGAGGTTCTTCCGAAGGGGGCCATTCTCTGCAAAGTGTTCAATAATGTCAGTCGCAAATCATAAAGAGAGTCGGTCCCAGTAAGACGTACCCTAGCAGAATTCATCCTCATATCACCATCGTTTGAGCAGTCATCATCCTGTCCTGGCGCAATTATTCTGGTGAGTCCACACCAAAGGGGGGAAGCACAAGACATCAGCAGTACGTATTCTTGGCCGTGCCGTGGTTTGAACTCTGACATGCGAGGCGAGCGTGTTACCTCCGCTCTACCAGCTTACGCTGGACATGTCTGAATTTTTACGTCTGAACAGCGAACATGTTTGTCCGGTGCCTCGAACGATGACCCAGTTGATGGCTTGGCCTTAGTCTTTATAGCATCTCGGGGAAAAGATTACTCTACACGTCCTCTTAGTCTTAATGGATGTGAATTTCTGGATTTTGGCATTGGACGTTTCTTCCCCAGCATGTTGCTACATTTGGTCGCGATCGTTGAACTTTTTCTGAGGTCATCCAAGTCGTTGAATTTATATAACCTTCGAAAATGCTTTCCAGGTCGAAACTCTACGAGGAGAAAACACCAATCTTCAATTGGAACTGGACCAAGCGCGTTGTGCTCAGAATCAGACTATCAGAGACTCCACCGAACACGATATTTCGGCCAATCTGCTCCTCTCCTCCGCGGAGACCGGCTTACCCGTGCCGGCAACCGAAATCCCAATGAGTCCGACCGTCGCCTCGGTTCGTATTGGTCAATTACGGGATCAGCTGACCAAACTGCGCAACGAATTGTACCGCGTGGAAACCGGTAAGTGAGTGCGCTTCCGTGATGGGACTTGCCTCGTCGTCTTTTTGGCTCGTTAGAATCGTTCTCTGCTCATTACTCCGCCCTTTATTTCTTCCCCCAGAAAAAGAAGAAGTGAAAATCAAACTGGCCGATTCACAAACGACTGTTGAAGGACTGCGTCAAAAGGTGGGTTTTCATCGTACCACCTCCGGTTCGTAATCTTTCTTCCTCTTCGGTTGACCTAGTTGAATTAGTCTTTCGGTTTTTCATCAGGCCACAGGTGTACACGCCCTGTCCAGTCTTAGTTTCTTGTCATTATATGTACCATGTGTGTACGTGTCCAGTGACATTTTCTGCATCCGATTAGTCTGACAATAGCCCAACATGCGCCACTGGTCTGAGACATTCTGATCAAGCGCAATCTTCCGGGCTCGCCTCGGAATCGCCCTTCATGTTTGGACGCAATCCAGTAAATTCACGCCTTCCATCACGCGGAATCATCATCATCATTGTCAGCTTTAATAACCGCGTACTCGTCGTACAGTGGTTGTAGCTGCCGCAGTTTCGTTCACCGATGATTTCGGGGAGGGGGGTAGGTAGCTGCACATTGGAGGCGGGAGCTGATAAATTGGTGCATAAATCCAGCATTGTCAGTGGGGTGATTGGGAAGGGAGCTATGCATTGAAGGCACTAGCTTGGATGCATGAGCGCCATTGAGGGCGCGACTGGGCCATGCCTGACAATGTTTCTAACCATTGATGTGGACTGTCTCGCTTCCCGGTTCCCATCCAGGAAGACGGCAATGACCAGCGCAGCTGAGTTTGGCGGTAATGGCTTTCATACTTCGCTGCCAGTCATTGACCGCCTCTGGCTCTCTCCCATCCTTCACGTGGTTGTGCGAAAAGAGCCCTTGGAGAAGTCGGTCG